TTGTGATTGGCTCAAGAGCCCAGCCCTTAGCATTATTCTTCTCCCTTGGTCCCTAGACCCATAGGAACACAATTATCCCAGACATATAGGGCCCACCCCTAGAATGTTACTTCAGTCAACCATTCACTTGTTCCTGGGGAGACCCCCACTTCTATCACTCTTTTCTGATCCTCCCTCGAACACCAACTCCTCTGGTAAGAAAGAAATCTTTTGTTTAGAGTCACAATTCAATTACTTTTGTCTCCTGGGTAGCAGCATTGCTTGTCCTAATGGAGAATATATCAAGGCCTCAATGTGGACAGATGGGAAGTGTTAGAGAGAGGCTAAACAGTCACTCCTGTGGCCATGCATCTTAAAGATCCTACCTATTTCCCGCATCAAAGGCAATATTCTCTAAAGCCTGGAGTAGGGAGGGATGACGAATTCCTGTAATTCAAGGACTGTTGATTGAATGTTCCAGACCATATAATACTCCTATCCTTGGCATTAGCAAAGCCCCAACAAATGGAGGTTGAGTATAAGATCTCCATGTGCTTAATGAGGCAGTTGCCTCACTCCATCCAGTAGTTTCTCACCCAGAGTCCACCCAATATATTCCATTATGAGGGGCTAGATCTAAGGACACTTTCTTTTGCATCCTGCTTCTCCCTAATTGTCAACTTCTATTTGTTTTTGAGGGCCTTAGAGAGCAGGACAGGTCACTTGGACTGCCCTCCTTCAAGGTTTCTGAGACAGTGACAGTCCTCATTTATTTGGTTTAGCTTTCTCCCAAGACTTACTGGAATTGACCCACCCACAGAGCACTCTAATTCAGTGTATAAATGGACTCCTTTGTGGGCCAATGGAAGAGATCATTTCTCAGGAATAGAATCTCTCCTTAGTTTTCTAGTTGATGGGCTATAAGGTATCTCAGGAAAGGATCCAGCTATACAAAACTAAGCCTTGAGCCTTGTCTTATCAAAAGGGACTAGAGCCTTAGGGCTTGAATGAGTTCACCCCATTTTGGCCCTTCTCAGTCCCCCAAACTCTCAATCAGATGAGGCATTTCTGGGAGTCACAGGCTGTTGTAGAACTTGGATCCTTCACTTATAGAAGAAATGGCTTTTGCTGCTAAGACTAGGCATCATCTGGATCCCTATGGATAGTGGCCAAGGCCTCCTGACCAGTTGCTGTTACCCAGCCAGATCTCTGCCATCTACCACTTTTTATTGTGTCATCTTATATCAGGCCTCCTCAGAGACATCCTGCTGCCCCCTTTACATCATCCCTATGTCAGTGTGAAGCTATTAGAGTGGTCTGCACCCTAAAACCCCAAAGCAGGATGACTTCTGAGAGGGGGCTGAGGCAATATGAGCTAATCATATTTTTGGACAGCTAGATAATTTGGGAAAAGGTCACTGATGAGGGCTGGAGAGATGACTCAGTGGTTAAGTGCAATGACTGCTCTTGCAGAGGACCCGGGTTCAATTCCCAGCACCCACATGGTGGCTGACAACCATCTGTAACTTCAGTTCCAGGAGATCTGATGTCCTATTCTAACCTCTCTGGGCATTGTATGACACAGGTGTACCTACCTACATGTAGGCATTATACTCATTAAAAAAATTTTTTTTAAAAGCTGGGCGTGGTGGCACACACATTTAATTCCAGCACTTGGGAGGCAGAGGCAGCTGGATCTCTGAGTTCAAGGCCAGCCTGGTCTACATAGTGAGTTCCAGGACAGCTGGAGCTATAGGGAGACCCTGTCTCAAAAAGACCGAAAAAAAAAAAGACCCAAAACTTTTTAAAAAAAAAAAAGATGGCATACTTTTACCTTTCTCTGGGTCTGACAAAGGCCTGGGGCCTCCCTCTTTAGCTAGCAGGGCTCTCTTTCCAGCTGACTAATTCAAACCAGTTCAGATAAGACCAAGGCCAAACCTAGACACCTCCTCATTCAAAACCATGAACCTATCAGTCTTCTTTAAGTTGACCAATCCAAAATTAGGGGAGGGGAACCAGTAAGATCCAGGCCCTCCCAGGGGGACTTGGATTTTCAGTTTCCAAAGCTCTCTGTTTGTGGAGCGCTTTTCCCTCTGGATGCATGTATGGATGCCTGTGAATCTTTATCTTTCAATAAAGTCTGTTTGCCTGTTGTTCTTGCTGTGTCTGAGATATTGCCTATCCTGCTTCTCTTTTAATTCTTTAATTGGCTGAGAAAACAAACCCCCTTGACTCCCTAGCCAGTAACAGTGTGAGACCTTGACATACACACATATACATGTATGCCTGAAAAATTCAGTTTATAAACTATGCTATTGATTTTAGAGTTAACTAAGAATTGTGGCCATGGGCAACTGCTGGCCACCTTTGGCATTCCTTTGTGGCCTCCCTGCCTTGTGCAGTTTAGGGTACTTGGGTCCCAGCCCTGTGTCAATCCTCTCTGCTACCCTGGGGCCTTGTGTACTTGACCGGTCTTTTGGTTTTGGATAGACGCCCTTGTTGGGCGTCCTTCCGGTTTCCCCAACTCTGGGTAGGCACAAGATCTTCTCCACTGGGCTCTCACCCTTACTCTGTTCCTAGAGCCCCTGACAGAAGTAACTCCCGAATGTTCAAGGTCCCAGGTCTCTGTTGAAGGGATGCCTGTCATAGCCATTCTGTCGCCTCTGCTGGCATGGCATGTCCCCTTCTCTCTCTGTATCTTTCTCTAGGCAACCCTTTGTGATTCCGTAAGAGAGTGCACCCCCTCCCCCAACCCCCGAGCAGAGTGATCCCAGGCTACCAGTGTCCCGGCATCTGGCGCCTGGATGTAGGCCCGGAGATACAGTTGCATTCCCGGAAGCATCCTTTTCCTCCTCCCTTTCCTGCTTCTCAACCCGAACTCCATTAGTGCCTGGCAGGGACGGTGCTCCATCTGCAGGCCGGCTCATACCTTTTGTGCCACGATACTCTACCCCACAGCGCTTCCAGTCTTGGGCTCTGCTGTGTGCAGAGCTCTCTCAGAAGCCATCATGGCCGCAGGGCTGGCGTTCTGCCTGGGCTCTCTCACGCACACCTGTTGCTTTGCTGCTCCTGCTGGCAGGCAGGTTGTTACCCCCACTGGCCTCCACTCCCATTCAGCTCAGATCACCTCATCCAAAAGTTGTCTCCACTCCTGCATGCACTGTTCGCCCACCTGGGCTCTGGGGGATCTTCCTGGGTCTGATGCCAATAGACTGTAGACTCCATGTGGATATTAAGTTGGTTTTTGAAAAACAGTAGCTGAACGGAGTAGCTGTGGTTGTGAAGGTGTCCTGGCCATGGGAGGAACCAGACTGAAGAGTTGGCCCTCCTTCTGGACAGAGAATCTGGGCATATGGGGTGGGCCCAAGCACTTCTCATCTGAGTGACCTCACTGACTGAGTTAGGGATAGTTGGGATGTTAGGCAAGACAGAAACCCCTGCCCCATTACAGGCAGGTCCAGGGGTGGGCTGCATCTTTGCCACCACAGATCCCCAAATACTTCCTGGACCTGGTGAGCAGGTACATGGGTGCTACCTCAGCAAGAGTGGTAAAAAGTGATGCTCTCAGGCTGGGGGGGAGCAGCGGGCAAAGTGGCCGCTGGTGTTTTGTGTGATCACCTGAGTGGATTTGGACCAGGCACAGTGTTCAGTGCACAGGGAACTGCTGGACCCCCTCCAAATGTTAATGAAGCAGAGAGAGAGAGAAGGTGGAGGCCAGGGCAGCTAAGGTTCAGGCTTTGTTGTGTGTGGGTGGATTCCCGGGAGCTGTATCTAGTTAGAGGGAAGCACATTGGCCCCATAGACTTGGATTGAAGCCAGTTCTGTTTCTGAGTTTTTGGGTCTGCTTCTGTTAAAATGGAGATTATTCATGGAGGGAGGAGAGGCTCAAAAGGCCTCTTGGAGGATCTACAGGTATTTAATGGCTGCTGATGGAAGGAAAGATATTTTCTTCAGTGGTATAGCCCACGGTAAAGTGCCCATGCTCCTGTAAATAACCCTACACCCATGCTCCAGTAAACAACCCTAATGAAACTCATTGGAAAACACACACACACACACACACACACACACATATGAAAACTGAATGGGGACTCTGGGAAGAGGAAAGGGATCAACAAGAGTGGGAGGGGACCCAGAGAGGGTCACAAGAGGTGACTGTGATCAAAAATAATTTTATATATGCATGAAAATGTTGGGTGGCGCATGCCTTTAATCCCAGCACTTGGGAGGCTGAGGCAGGTGGATCTTTGTGAATTTGAGGCCAGCCTGGTCTACATAGTGAGTTCCAGGACAGCTGGGGCTACAAGGAGACCCTGTCTCAAAAAAGACAAAAAAAATAAAAAAAGAAAATGACATAATGAATCCCATTTTCATGTGTAGTTATGTACGCTGATAAAGAGGGACTGGAGAGATGGCATGGCAGTTAAGAGCGCCTGCCCCTCCTGCAGGGGACCAGAGTTTAGTTTCCAGCACCTGTGTTGGGAGAGCACAACTGCCTGTAACTCCAGCTCTAGGGGATTTGACACCCTCTTATGGCCTCTGTGGGTACCTGCACACACAGACACACAGACAAATAAAAACTTAAAGGGAGATTATAATGATTCATACCTCATTGGCTTGTCATAAAGCTTGAAACACATGATTCTGTGGGCCAGGGCACATTGAGGCTCCAGAGGAGAAAGAGGGGTGCTACAGTGTATACGTCGCAGTGATGGTGCATGACATGTGCCAACTTTGCTGGACTACTGCTTTAAAATGAATGTTTACCCCCCCCCCCCACTTCTGCCTCCCACCCCACACTGCAACCCAGTCCTGGCATCTTAGCGTTGGGAACTGGTGCCTTTGGGGAGGCAATAAAGTTACATCACCTCTACTTATAATTGTTATGGAGAAACATGAATTCTCACTCACATAGCTGCTAACAGACTAGCACCAGAAAAAGGTAACTTTTCTCAAGTTTTATTGTAAAATTTTCAGAAAAAGAGCATTTACAATGACCATACTTAATGATAATTTGTGAGTCTTTTTTTTTTTGTCAAGTGGTACTGCAAATACATCTGTGTTCAATACCATGTCATACGTCAAAATAAACACAAACTTATTCCAAATGCCACATACTGTTACTGTGCTGGTACAAATTTCTACTAAAGTTGATGTATTAAAAATAATTTGTATATATTTTATAAATAAGGAAAAATTCACATGTATAATAATTACAGGAGGCCTTTTGAGAAATACTGGTGATTACAGAAAATATATTTTGGTGTCTACACAACTGCTCAAAATAATGAAACCTGCCTCAATAAGAGATGGGAAGGTTTTCTGAGGTGGGGAAGGACGAATCTCTTCATGGTGTTGTGTGGCTCCACATTTGAGGGTCGTATTGGCTACATGATAGCATGAAAAGTTGTGCTTACCCCTCCAGCAAAACTTCATGCCCAGTTTTGCTTCGGGGCATTTCACACAGCCTTCAGAAAGCAGAGTAGCAGAGGGCAGGTAGGTCAGATGCCATGGGGCTGGGGCAGGGGCAGAGGGCAGAGCCAGGCAGGGAGGGTGTGCGTGGGGGGCAGCACCCCTGGGGGCACTGAGGGCCTGGGGTGGCCTGCAGGCTTGTTCACCTTCTGAAGATGGCATGCTAGACAGTGGATGAGGGTTTGGTTAGGGAACTTCCTCGGTTTGGAGCTCTTGGGCCTCATAACCGGCAGGCACTAGTTGCCCTTCCTCAGAGGGTGAACTGTGCAGAGCCACATGTCACCAGCACTTGGTGTAGGGGCCATTCCACAGTGCTTTGTGGAGTGTAGCAGAGGCCTCTAGGGCAGGTTCACATCCTCTGGGTCTTGAGTGACTGATCTGAGTGAATTCTCACTTGAGCCCCAAAGCAAGAAGCATCTGGGCAGAGGCCTTGGGAAGCTGGTGTGGCACGAAGCTGTTGTTCTTTGAGGTGGGTGCTGAGGTGCAGTGGCCCATGGAAATGGACCGTCCCATGTTCATGTTCAGCTTGGAAAGAAAGGAATGCAAGAACCGTGATGTTGTGTAAAAAAAAACAAAAACATCCTACGAATTCGGAAAATTAATTCTCGCTCCCACCCCCGTTTCCACAAGGTCATCCACTGTGCTTGGTGAAATTACACTTCCAGCTGGATGCCCTCAGAGCCTAAGGAGAATACCGAGGCCTAAGACGATGCTTGCTTATCTCTGGGTGTCTGCTGGGTAGCAGAGGCCCAAGCCCACAGGCCCAGGTCCTGAAGCAGCTGCAAAGGGAAGCAGGAAGTGGGTTGCTGCTTGGGGTCTTATGGTCACACCCTGTGCATTTTGTTCCTGTTGTATAATTTAAGCATCTCTGCCTTATGAGCGCTGTGATTGTGGAGAGAAACCAAGGCAGTTAGTGACTCTCTTGACCCAAACAGCTTTACTTCCATGGTGATCTGGGAGCAAATAATAGTGTCTGGTGTGTGAGTGGTTTTTCATTTGAACCCTCAGAGCAAGAGAGCGTCGTGGGCAAAGGCCACAGGAAGTTGGTATGGCAGGGCACTGTTGCTGATGACGAGGGTTGTGGTGGGGTGACCCTTGAGTGGAGGGCCTGGGACACAGAAGGGAGGAGGGAAAATGACATGGTAACAAAGGGAATTTGGGGGCCATGCCCCTAGTATGAGGCTCGGCTGACATGTCACCTCTCTCTTCCTGCAGGACACTAACCCTCTTCCCTGACCATCCTGACAGCTTTCTGTAGTTTTTGTCTTTAACTCCAGAGATCTGAATGCTAGCATCTGGGGTATGATCCTAGGCAGCGAAGGGTTGTGTCTGGATGGGTTCTGATCACACATGGAGTGGGACAGGGAGCAGGGGTAGCGGCTGGCTGAGGGCTTCTGAGTCAGTTCCATAGTCGTCTTCCATCATCTGTCTGGCATTCTGGGGGTGCTGGGTGCCTGGAAGATGTGAGGTAGATTGGTGGGTGCATAGGAGGGAGGGGGAGTGGCATCAGCTCTCTCTTGGAGGCTTGCTTCTGGAGGGGAGGGTTGGAGGTTTGACAGCAAAGATGGTTCAGCATCTGTGGTATTTGAACGAAACACATGAAAAATGAATCCACAACACTTTAGCCCTGGTAGAAAAATATATCCAGAATGAATCTGTTTTGCATCTCAGTCTGAAATCTCCCTCAGTTCACAGGTTATTGGTCAACAGAAGAAAAAAACGAGAAGATGTAGCCATACAAAGCCAGTGCCTGGCTGCTGAAAGAAAACTTAGACGTTCCCATGCTCTGTGGCAGCAGGCCACTCGTGGCTTTATTTAGGGTTGCAAACTGTCTTTCCAGGGTGTCTTCCTGCAATTGGGAGCCCTTTCTCGCACAGAGGAACAGGTGGAGGGGGAGATGACTCAGTTGGGGGTGAGGGGGGAGATTGAACTTCTGTCTCTAGTGATGCTCACACTCTCTAAGTCAAGAAACCTGTTGCTTGCTATTAGTATTTGACCCCAGTCGAGACCAGTCCCTTTTCATCTTCCTCATGGGATTCAGGGAAGATAGCAGGACATTTGTGTGGCTTGGGGACTGAAGAGAGTAGCCTGGGCCAGCCCCAGACAGAGCTGGCTGGACCAGTGTTGTTGAGGTCGGGATCATGCCCTTTGCCGTATTGGGGGTGGCACTCTCTTGGACCTGCTTGGGCGGGAGGGTCACATGCTTGCCTAGAAACAGGAAGTCTCTCTCTCTCTTCCATCCCTGGGGGAGGCTGGGTGGGCTGTGGAATCTAGGACTTCTATCAGGGTTCTGTCCACTTGGGGAGAAGGGGAACCAGAGCTTTCATTTCAAAGCCTTAATGAAACTACGGGCATATGGTATTTGCATTTGTTTTCTGGAAAGAAAGGAACCATCGAATTTTTGGGTAATCAGTTGTGTGATAAAATGACTGTTGGAGTTTATGTAAATAGCTCTCTAGTGATTCTCTTGATGAACCAATCCCTCTTGAGGACCACTGGCCATTCATCTTTGTTCATTATGTTCTTCAGCATAATCCCCGGCCGGGCTGGCTACGGGACACCTGCTTGTGATGCCATCTTCTACCAGTGGTTTCGCACTGTGCTCAGCAGTCTCTCCTGGCTCTGAACTGAGAAGGGGAAAGTCAGGCAAAGCCTCCCTGTGGGCCCCTGTCTTCCTGTACTGGCCAGGGAGCCTGTTCATTCTGCTTTTGTGACGACCTCCTGGGCCAGGCCCCTGACATCTGGACTAGGCTTCAGGCTGGTGGTTTCCTGTTTTGTGTTTTGCATATAGGACACCTCTGGCTGTCTCTAGTGACTCCACTTTCCAAATGGTGAGAGACAGGGGCAGTGGCCAAGGAGCAGATGGTGCACAAGTCAACTCCAGCACTCTTGTTCTAATCCAGTTTGGACTGGATTGGCCTTTGACTGCATCCAGTGGGTGGGGTGGGGAGAGATCTTCCTTCTTGGAGCTTGGGAATGCTACCTGTGGCTGGTACTGCTTTTCAAAATGAAGTTTGTGAACACTGGAAGTTTTTAGTGAAAACATTAGATTTTGGGAATTCCCATATCAAGAACCAAGGAGGACAAAAGGGGCAGATGTGTTACCATGTCACATGTACCCCAGTTATCATGAGACTCTGAGCCTTAGGCTGATGAGATCACCCCCCCCCCCGACCTCTAAGGATGTTATAGTGCACGTGCAAGTATCCCTCTGGGATTGAAAGGGACAGGCTTTTAGTGGACTGAAAGACAGGAACTGTGGGAGGAGGAGGAACTGCTGGCAAGAAGCTGGGAGGGGACCGCTGGCCTTGGTGCTGATGAGGGAAGGGACACGTTCTTATGTGCCTTGAGAGTGGTGTGGTCTGCGCTTGTCAGCTTGTTGCCAAACTCCGTGGGGTTTGCAGAATGATCATCCAAGCCAGAAAGCAGGTACGTTTTGGCCACTGACATGAGAGAGATGGACAAGAGCGTTCTAAGAGACCCAGGGGATGGTGGAAAGGGGAAAGGACACAGTGTTTCTTTCTTGCCAAGAGTCTCTGACACAGGTGGACCCCACAGTGTTGTGCATCTTCTGGCAGACCTGAGAGCTCACTGTAGGCAGAGACAGGAGGGACTGACCTGGCCCTTTGCTGGTTCTGCATTTTGGAGAAGTGTGTAGATTGAAACATAGGTATGAAAACATAGACAAGTACTCTCTCAGAGTGCAGATGCAGGGGCTGGGCCACTGGTGCCCACGCAGAAACACAGCCCCAGGAACCCAGATGGACGGCACTCATAGCCTACAGCTTTTGGCATTGAGCCCAAAGGCTATTTACATCTTGCTAGGCAAGCCTTGTCTGCCCTGGGAATTCTGCTGGCATAGGGGCCTGGCCGATGAAGTATCCCTTTCTACAGTGAAAAACATACTGGCAGGGCTCGTCCTGATTTCTTGGGATTCTAGCACAGGTTTGTAATGTGGTAGCCTGAGCTGCACTCGAGTCCACAGGGCTGGCAATGGAGTCTAGAGCCACAATTTCTTGGATGTCTATTTTTTCTGCACATGGATGTGAGGTGGTAACCCTGCCCACCTCCTACCCTAAGAGATTTGCCCAAAGGCAGGGAAGAGCACAGCTGGGCCTTGGAGAGCATGTTTTCTGCTTCCTAGCATCTAAGATTATAAAAAATTAGTTTTAATCAAAATTTTCCAAAATAAAGTGAGTGATTTCCCCATCTCCCGAGGTGTAGGAAGTCTCACTGGCTCTCTCTCAGTCAGATGGAAAGGGAAGCAAGCAGGAGCTGTGAAGGAGCAAGTGAGGTCCCCAGCAAGGGCAGAAGGCTAGCCCATGGAGACAGACAGTCTTGCTCAGCCCTGCTGCCAGGTCACTGCTTCAGGGCACAGACTGGCTGGGGCTGGTGGGTCAGGACAATGATCACGTGAAGGCAACCGACAGAAGCGTCAGCCTGGGCAGAGGGATTCCTTGGTTCCGAGGTGTCCCCAAGTGTCCCCAGGTGACGTGGCGTGCAGCCGGGCACAGAGATGATTCCTTTACACAGCAGCATGTGTTCTTGTCACAGCTCAAGGCGTTAAATCATACTTCTGAACGAAAAAACCCCCAATCTTGGTAGCAGCTCATACCATATACTAGGAAACTTGCAAGGAGACCACTGTTGAACCACAAAGTGAATTACAGGGTTTGGCTTTTTGTCTGTGAAAATGTACAGCGTGCCTGCTTGGGGCTGCAGTGTCAGGACTAGGTGGTGCTCCTGGATGCAGGGCTCTGGGCTTGACTGTTTCATACCTCACCAACCCACACCACCGTGGCTGTACCCTTTATGCCTGACACCTCGCATCTCAGCGCGTTTTGTCTCCCATTGATCAGGAACAGTGACTCTTGGTTTGGAGTGAGGAGGTACTGTCCAAACAACCCACTGTCCCTCAGGACTCTGCGGGGTCCTCCCCAGGGCCGGGTCGGCCCTGTGGGAGTGTCCTTTAAGTTCTCCAGCTTTCCCATCTTCCCTGTGGACAGCTGCAGGAACAGCAGGTCGGGCTCCTTTTCGAGAGTAGCATAGGTGTTGTACTGATTGCCTTCAGTGAAAGAGTACTGGAATGTCAAGTCTGAGATGCCTGAGTTTACTGTCAGGTCATACAGGGTCTGGATCTCACCTCGAACTGTGACCTCCTGCACATGCAGCCGGGGACTGTTGTCGGAGGCACTGATGATAAAGCGCCCATCGGGGGACACATGGGGGGTGCCTGTGACATCAGTGTTAGGGCCCAGCACTGAATCTGTGACGCTGTCGATGAGCAGCTGTGGAGCGGTGGAAGTAGCGGAGTCCTGTCGGCATTGCACGAAGAAGTAGCCACCCAGGTGGGTGTGCGCCATGGCCTGGGGCATGCAGCCGTGTTTCTTCAGGCTGATGGTCTTGAGGGGCATCAGTGTCTCTAGGTCAACTTTGTGGATGGCGGGGTCAGACTTGTTGAAGATGAAGCCAAACCTGAGAAGGGAAGAGCTGAGGTAAGAGCAGGAGGCCTATGCGAGGGGCAGGATCTGCCATTGGTCTTCAATGATGGCATCCTTCCCTTTTTCCCTTTATCATAATCCTTCAGTCATCTAATGGCTTATTAATAAGATCTCTCATGATATAGGGTATGATTCCAAAGTCAATTATGTAAGGTCTCCAGCCAAATGCAGTTGAGGGACAAATGGTCCCAGATCGAGGCTCTTTCAAAACCCACTCATCTCTGTAGATGGTTTTGAAGGGACTGGGAAAGGCCCTCAATGGCTCCTCCCTTGGGAATGCCTTTGGATCACTTCCCTAGCTTGTGTTAGCTGCTGGATGGTGGGCCTGGGCTTGTAGGGTAAGTGAGATTGGGAGGTGCCTGTCCTGAGGGCAAGATAACAGAATCTTGTATCTCAGCTGGTTTCTGGGCTGTCTGGTGGCTCAGATTTAAAGTCACAGACACAGCTCAACAAGGATAGAATTCCTCCCTGTAGCCCTGCCTCTGGGAGGAATGTATGGGGTAGTCTCTTCTTTAGCATTCATGAGGTGAGCAAATTTACATGTCCTGGTGATGCTATGATGCCCTCCCTGTTGGCCAAAGAGTCTTCAGTGATCTGCTTGCCCCTCTGAGCCTCAGGGACTCCAAAGAGGGCAGTCTCTTCCTAAGGCTGCTGGGAGGATTGAATCTGGGAGGGGTTTAGTAAAGTGACTCCAGCAGGTGGGAGTCGCTTATACCTGGTCTGTCTGAGTTCTTTGTTGGCGGCTGGTTGCAAGTACAGAGAGGTCTGACTCCAGGTGGGACTTCCTCTGTGCCCCTGTGCCTAAGGCCTTGTTCATAAAGGCTTTTGGGTACAGGATGCACCTAGAGGAACAGCAGAAATCTCTCCTGTAATTTTTTCTTGAAAAACTGCATCTTAAGAGTGGGCAAAATGCCTCAGGCATGACTTTAAAACATCTTTAAAGAACCAGAGAAAGAAAACCGTGCTCTTAGAAGGCACTTCAACTTAAAAAGCCACTTAGGAGCAGCAGAGCCGGAGCTCGCAGCGCTTCTGGCCGAATTCAGCATCCTGGTGGGGGTCTTCGGCATTCGCCCAGGCCCCTAAGCTCTGCAGGGAAGGGATTCCTAAGGTAGTCACTGTCCTCTGGGGGTCTCCAGCATCACTTTGCAAAAATGAATCATTTCTTCCTGGAGAAAAGTGCCTGACGACACAGAGGTATACATAGTGCCTTGAAACCTTTGGAGTCTTGATGACTTAGCAGAGGAACTTTGCAAAGGCTGCTGGGAGCGCTCTGAAATAGGGAGGGGAGTGGCCAGCTCAAGAAAGCCTGAGGATCTGGGCACTTTCCTTAACTCTAAGATACGCTAAGCAGTGAAGACCAGAATCTGTACTAGAAAGAAGTTCGTTGCTCTGCCCAAACGTAGCCCAGGAGGTGTGGGAGGTAGAGAGCAGCTGGTGCCACCCTGAGCCTGGCTGTCCTAGGCAGGCTGGGTGGAACATGGCCCTCAGCAGCACTGGGGGGCAGTCTTACCTGATGTGGTTGATGATGAGGTTGGTTGGAGGAATGAAGAAATCATCCACCCCCGAAAATGGTGTTCGGATGAGGTGCTGGCCCTGGCCGGCGCTGGCTTCTGTGATCACCTGTAACACAGAGCGGGGTTCTTGTGGGGGCCCTTTCGGCAGGGGGCTGGAGGTCTGGATGCCTGCATGCTTGGGTGTAGACTCCCACAAGAAGGGCTACTGGGGAGACAGATGGTGGGTACACCTGTCTCAGGGAAGGGACCGAAACCCAGTGGGACTTGATTAGGCTTGTGAAGTTCAGGCGCCATGTCTTCCTGGGGAGGGCCGTAGTGGGAGGAGACAGCAGGCCCTGCCTGGCCCCTCCATGGTCAGGCCTGGCAGCATTGCTCCTGGTCAGCCTTCAGGAGGGCAGGGTGAACACCTAGGTGCTGAGGTTTCCGAGGGAGATTTGCCGGTACTGAAACACCACTGTCTGCTCAGAGACAACCTCCCTACCAGGGAAGCCGAACTTCTACATCTCTGTGCTACCTCGAGGCAAGGGTCAGAGCGTTATGAATAATGAAAATGTTCGGCAGTGGAGAAATGTACCAGGAATTAATTGGATGTTTCTGTGCATGAGCATGTGGAGGCCATAGATCAGCTTCAAGTATCGTTCCTCAGGTGCTGTCTTCCTTGGCTGAGACGGTCTCTCACTGACCTGGAACTCAACGAGCAGGAGAGGCTGGCCGGCCAGTGAGCTCCAGAGATCTCCTAGTCCGTATCTCCCAGCATTTGATTTACAAGTGTGTGTCATCACGCCCAGCATTTTTATGTGTATGAGTGTTTTCTCTGCATTAGTGTCATGCAAAACCCGTAGGGGCCAGAAGGTGTTGGAGCCCCTGGAACTGGAGATGGTTGTTAGCCGCCATGTGGGTGCTGGGAATTGAATCCGGTCCTCTGGAAGAGCAGCCAGTGCTCTTAAGTGCTGAGCCATCTCTCCAGACCTACCATGCCTGACTTTTTAAACAGTATTTTATTATTTATTTTATGCATATGAGTATATTGCTTGCATGTATGTCCATATACCCGTGTGGTGCAATGCATGCAGAAGTCAGAAGGGTGTGTTGGAATCCCTGGAACTGGAGTTACATGGGTTGTTAGCCACCATGTAGGTGCTGGGAATTGAACCTGGGTCCTCTGCAAGAGCAGTCAGTGTTCTTACCCGCGGAGCCATCTCTCCAGCCCCACACCATTTTTTTTTTTTTTTTTAATGTGGGTTCTGGGGATCAAACTCAGGTCTTCTTGTTTTTGTGGCAAGCTCTTTACTGACTGAGCACTCTCTGTGTGGAATGAGGGTGCTGGGTACCTGGGATGGCTTGCTGGGACTCTGTCATATGTTGGTCATAGAACATGGAGACTCTAGAATTGATGAGAAAAACCAGGAAACCTGCAGGGCTGTCACTTACAGTTGCTGTTCCTGCTGTCCAGGCATCTTGCAGGAAGATGGGTGGGGTGGTGTGGGTTTCACAATAGGGCCCTACTGTCTAATGTCAACATGGAGGCCCCGTGCTATGTACATACTGGAGTGTGGGTGCCTCTGTCTCCCCACAGACAATGCTTCCTGCCCTGCAGACTTGATAGGAGGAAAGCAGACCCACTGGAGGTGTGTGACCTGCTGTGTCAGAGCTGAGGGACAGTCTGGACAGAGCTAGGTGGTGAGAGAGGTTAGAGAGGAGGAGGGCGTGGTCTGGGAGCCTTTGTGAAGCCATTGTGGCCTGGCTGAGGCCTGGGCCCGGCAGTCCAATACCCCTGCCTTCTGCACATGGCCATTGGTCTGCAGGCTCTAGGCCACTGCCAGAAAGGGGCAGACCTACAACCAGTCTGGGCTTGACTGGCTCACAGACAGTTTGACCCAAGGTGCTAAAGGCAAGCCTAGACCTTCTGCGCAGGTCAGGAGGCAGACTTTCAACCCCTAACTAGCGATGGGAGACATTTTTGGGGATAGTGTAGCTATGGATCCAAGTTTCTGCAGCCTGAAGCAGGCCTGCAGGGTGAGGACAGTCTGACAGGCCCTGCTGGCTCTCATAGCTTGGAACCCTGGGTGCTTTTGCCTTGTAGGATCAGAACTGTGTTCTGGCTTTTGCTTTCATGACAAAACAAACAGCAGCGAGCCTGGCTGCTCAGGCAGGTGTGAGGTTGGTGTCTTTCTTCATCACTGCCCTGGCCTGGGGATGTCAGCAGGTGGGTTGCTGGAGTGGAGGGGTGCCTGCTGGGATTTCCAGTCTTTGAGCATTTCTGAAGCTGCACTGAGTTTATTTTCCTGTGATTTTTCTATTTAACAAATGGCCGAATGATGCCTCCCTGACAAGTCCACGGAAGGAGAGCTCATGGAGCCTGGGCATTAAGAAAATACCAGCATTAGGAAATAGGATCTTAGAGAGTCTAGGGGAACGTGGCTGAGAATTCAAAGGCAGCACACAGTCACTGCCTGATACTAGGACTGTCGTTTCGGCTTACAATAGAGATGGAAAATTACAGGCTGTCATCGGTCAGTGTCATTTGCGCTTCAACACCCTCACACCCTATACTCAGAGGTGACTTGATCAAAATGCAGTACCAAGGGCCATTGAGCTGATGTGGAGTATCAGACTTCTTTTTCTGAGCCCCGAGGTTCTGCCTGCCCTGGTCTTGTGTCCCAGCATGTGGTTAGGCCCATAGACACATCAAAGACAACTATAAAGGCCCATCAACTTATTGGTTCTGTGGGCTTAACTCTAGAGAAATAGATGGTAGAGTAGCAGATGTCTCTTGGTTAGAAAAGTGGGGACAAGAAGGCTGAGCCTTTCTATGTGTGGACACAGCCAGCTGAGAAAGTAACCCTAGAGGGACAGACTGAAGGTCACCTGGGCCAGTGAGCTAGCACACTGGACAGAATTCATGCAAATGCCATATGTTCAAAAACTGGTTGCTGAGGGGAGCCTGGGAGCGAGTGTCACATGGGGTTAGACCCACCCCCATGTAGGATGTGTTTAATGTTTTACAATTGCAAACCACACAGTCTTTGCCCATACTCAGGACTGCAGCTTTGGGATATGTTCAGGGAAGTTAGGGTCATGCATCAGAAGTTCCTCTTTTAGTTGGGCGTGGTGCCCCAGGCCTGCAGGCAGAGGCAGAGGCAGGAGGATTGCCAAAAGTTTGTGGTCACCCTGGTCTACATAGTGAGTTTAAGCTTAAAAAAACAAAGGAGTTACTCTTTTGAGACTTGTAGTTTACATCTTGGTTGTTTGCTACAAACCTGTGCCAGGTGACATTTCCAGGGATGGCTTTTGCTAAGTTCTGATTTCCACAGCCCACAGTGATGAAGGTGGGTTTATTCAAGCTATTTCTTTCCATTCTTTCCATTTCCCTTCTTCCTTCCCTTTCTCCCTCTCATTTTTACCTGCCTCTGTCTCCCAAGCGCTGGGATTAAAGGTATATACCACCACACCTGGCTTTTTCTTCCTTTGGAACTCACCCAGCCACTCTTATTTTGATTAGAATAACTTATCCTTATTTGCACCCTGATATCAGAGTTCTCTTTTAGTCTCTCCTAACTCACCAGCTTTATTTGACACATGGATTTCTGGGTATTCTTCTCTTGGGCTTACTTTTAACCTCCCCGCCCCGCTCCCACACCTCAGTCCATTAGCTCTGTTCCTCGTTTCTTCTCTCTGCTGTGATGGTCTCTGATCTGGCTCGTCTGACACTTGTCCAGCTTCTTCCCTCCATGTCCTCTACAGGTTTCTGAGTGCTGAGCCTGAGTTCTCACACACCTTCCATGGGTCTCTTGTCTTCCAGAGTGATGTCTTAGCTGGGACTGGACTCTTGGAACTCAGCCTTTTTTCCTTCCTTCCAGGTAGGTGTGACTTTGTGGTCTTCCTGGTACTGTTGGAGATAAGAAGCCTAACACCATTCTGATTGCGTCTTATATAGGCAGCTTGTTCTTTCAGCCCCCCAAAAGCTTCTCTTATGAAATTTTCCTTCCTTGGAATTCCAAAATTTTACTGAAGAGTGCAAGGAGAGATATCACTTCTCACTTTAGACTGGAGTGTATAGACCCTTTCGGTCTATGTGTTTATACATCTCCAACTCAGGAGTTATATATGTCATGTGTTGGGTTTTTTTTTTTTTTTTTTTTTTTTTTTAAAAAAAAAAAAAAAAAAAAAAAAAAAGAGGACGATAAATCTTTCACTGTGATATATCAAAATAA